CATGCCAAACACCTAAGGAAATGCTTGCGGCCATTTTCAAGCTCCCGAAGGACAAGAAGTTGCGGGCTATCTGCCTTTTTTAGAACCAACAACATACACTTTATGCGTTGGTGTTAGTACAATCCGACAGCATGGTTTTCCTCACATTTGCGTGCACATCCGCTATCAGGTAATGATCACCTGAACCTCTCGCCATCGCTGCGATTCCATGGGCCACTTTGTTCAGTGCCCTTCCAACAATATTCACCTCCACTGTAAGAAATGCCTTCAACCGGTTTCCAATGTCCTTCATTACCGCAAACCAGGGTGATTTGCATATATCCTTGGATAGCACCTCACGTCCACCTATGGAGTTGTCCACCTCCACAACAACATGGCCGTTAAAAAGTCTAGCCAAATCCGCTAGTCCCATCGAGACAACTGACGCTTCTGCTTCCTTAGGGGAACTACACCGACGCAGTTGTCGTCCAGCAGAGAAGAGAGGGTGTCCCCTATGGTCCCGCGCGATGGCCCCTCCCCATGTATCGCGTGTCTCCTGCATAAAGGTTGCATCACAGTTTAGTTTAACTGATCCGAAAGGAGGTGTTAGCCAGTGCATGGATGCAGGCCTCACTGGAGCCTGAATCAGGTCTTCCTGCGCCTGACTAGTGCACTGACTAGCAGATGTGACTGTTGCGTGTGCTGCAAGTGCCAGTTCCTCACCCAATCTAATTAACTCATGCACAGCTGCGGTTACAGTATCTTTCCCATCCCCATGAATCACGTTATTCCTTAACTGCCAGGCTTTCCACAGAATCATGAGGATATTATTCTTGATATGCATTGGGTGTGAAGTGAGTAGCATCTGCAACCAATCTTCACCCATCATTCTGAATGCCGATTCTTTTGGAATTTTCTAGTTTGCTCTCATGACATCTCTCAACGCTTTGCTGCGAGTACACGAAATGACTGCATGAAATTCATCCTCCCTCTCCCTTCCACATATATCACATACATCCTCCTTTTCTATGGTTCTAATGAAGGTATTGTGTTTTGTAGCAAGGGACTTGGTAGCCACTCTCCAAGCGAAGACTTTAATCCTTTTCGGTATGTTTGCCTTCCAAATCACATCCCAGATTTTCCTATCCCCTGGATCACTGGTTGAGCTAGTCGGCAACAGTGTTCCTTTTCTTTTCAGAGAACCCACAAGCTTGTAAGCACTATTAACAGTGAATATACCGTTTTTCTCGTAGTGCCATGCCACACAATCCTCCACCTGTTCCAAAAGTAAACGGATTTTGCAAATTTCATCTGCATCAAAGGGGTGAAATATTGCCTAATGAGATCCGTGTTCCACTCATTTGAGTCATGGGACACCAGTTGACTGACCCATCGTAGTCGAGTTCTCTGAATAAAATTCGCTGTTTTGAGGCCTTCTTTTCTAGGGATCCATTGATCTCTTGTAATCTGGATTCTCCTTCCATTACCCACTCGCCATATCAGACCTTCTTTGAGTAACTCAAGACCAAATTCGATCCCTCTCCACACCGGTGAAGCATCGGTGGTGAACACCGTGTTGATCAAATCACAAGCAACCGAGATTAATGTTGGCCATGAAATTGCTGAATGGCAGGAGTTCTTGGGCAGTAAGACAAGAAAACAGACCAAGCCCAATCACAAGTGGTGGCTGCCCCTCCCCCCATTGCGCAATTTTATGAAGATAAACATCGACGCAACCTACAAGACAAAGGCGGGAGAGGGGGGGTTGGGGAGCCATTGCCACTGCCGGACGGTGTGGCTATCCTCACTGCTGCTGGGGAGATCATCAACAAAGTGCTGCTCTACACGCAGAAACAAAAGCTCTCAAGCTATTCGGCCAGCTGAAACACAAGGTATGGGGCTTCTGTTTTTTGAGATGGATTGCTTGACCCTGCAACAGGCTACATCCTCTCCTTCCCAGGATCATGGACCTCTGGGTGTATTATTCCATGGAGCTATGTGCTATCCTCATTTATGTAATCTCCCAGCGCACGTGTTGGCTGCTATTGGGTCGAGTGGAGCTCTCAAAAGCCTGCATGTCTGACAATCAAACTTTCCAGACGATGTAATTCGTGCTGTGACTGTCGATTTGATCGGTCCCTCGTAATTGTAATTCAAGGTGTTCCATTTAAAAAATAAAGTAGAAAACCTTTGGTGTGATCTAAGAGTATCTATAGTCGAACTCCTCAAACGCTCCCTATACATCTGGGAGGACGACCCGGTCGATGATCAGTCACAAAATCTCAACTAGTCGCACCCCTTATATCGCCCATATACTTTCGAGCTGAGCAGCATCACTCATATCCCTCCAGCCCTAAACAACTAAAATACCCCTTAAGAGTAACTCCAATGGGGCGACCCATTTTGTCTGCGGCCGTCTGTTTGGGTCGATGCGGACACAAAGGGCGGTCCAACGCGCTGACCGAAACGGACGCACGTCTGTTTTTCGTCCGTGGGTGACCCATTCCCAGCCCATTTTGAGCCGGATTTGCATCGGCCGGACACGCGACGGACGCGCGCGCTCGCCTGCTCCTGTCCCCGGGCCCGTTGGTCTGTGGCACATTGGCCTCCCCTCTCACCCCTCGGCCAACAAGCAACCCTCACCCGCCTCCTCCGTCGCCGACGCCGCCACCCATTTTTGCCGGCGACTCTTCCAGCTGTCGCCGCCTCCACATCCGCCCAGCAACGCCGCTGCTCCCTCCCGTCGCCCTCTGTCGCTGTTTTGCCGCCGGGGAGCAAACTGCTTCCCACTGTCGCTTCCCCCCACCGCACAACTGCCCGCGACCAAGAAGCCGCCTCGCCGCCCCTGCCACATCCGACCGGCATGCTCGTCGGATGCCGTCACACTCGTCGGACGCCGGCAGGGCAGCTAGCTGGTCTATGGGCGCCACGACTGCCCTCGCCGGCCGTCTCCTTCTTCAACGCCCGCAAGCTGTTTGACAGTTTGCCAAGGTACGAAATGGACTCCGCTGACGAGTTCCTTTTTCACAATTTCCTTTGCGACTCCGACGATTCATCGTCCGACGATGAGGAGGAGATATTGGCTACCGTGTTGGTCCATCACCACCTCAACAGCCAGCGGCCGTTGTTCCGTGGCTCCATTCCGGGCCACCTTCCGGCGTTGAATCGCAACCGAGAGAGCGGGCATTTCCTTCTCTGGAAGGACTACTTTGATACAACAAACCGTTGTTCAAACATCACAAATTCCGCCGCCGTTTCCGTATGAGTAGGCATGTTTTCAAGCGTATTAGAGAGGGAGTGGTCGGCTATGATGACTACTTCGAGTGCAAAGAGGATGCCGTCGGCAAGATTGGTTTCTCCTCTTATCAGAAATGCACTGCCGCCATCCGAATGCTTGCATACGGAGTGCCCGGTGATCTCATTGACGAGTACGTCTGTATGAGTGAGTCTACATGCCTAGAGTCCCTGTATAAGTTCTATAAGACTGTTATTGCTGTGTTTGGCCCTGAGTACTTGAGAGAGCCGACAACTGAAGATATAGCCCGTTTGTTGGCGATGAATGCTAGCAGGGGCTTCCCGGGGATGCTTGGCAGCATAGACTGCATGCACTGGGAGTGGAAGAACTGCCCTTCTGCTTGGCAAGGGCAGTATAAGGGACATGTCAGGGCTTGCACTGTCATACTAGAGGCCGTGGCGTCTCAAGATCTCTGGATCCGGCACTCTTTCTTTGGCATGGCTGGATCACACAATGATATCATCGTGCTTCAGCGCTCGCCGGTGTTTGCTAGGCTTGCCGAAGGCAACAACCCACCGGTGAACTTTACTGTCAACGACCACAACTACGACAAAGGGTACTATCTGGGTGACAGTATCTATCCTCAATGGACCACTATTGTCAAGACAATACCCAACCCTGTTGGAGAAAAAAATAAAAGATTTGCCCAAGAGCAAGAAGTGCTAGGAAGGATGTCGAGCGTGCCTTTAGTGTTTTGCAATCTCGATGGGGCATCGTTCAGTATCCTGCTAATATTTGGAGCACGCAGAAACTGTGGGAGGTGATGACTGCTTGTGTGATCATGCACAATATGATCGTAGAAGACGAGCGCCCGGAACGTCTGTACGATCAAGGCTTTCAATTCAGGGTGAAAATGTTGTGTCTGAACTTGGAGTAGCGGCAACATTTTAGCACTTCACTCAATTTCATGAAGACATGCGTGATTGGGAAACTCACGTGCAACTGCAAAATGATTTGGTTGAGCATATATGGGTTCATGTTGACAACCAATAGATGTATCTTCTTTTATTCGTTTGCAAAACTATGTGAAACATTTTTATTTGTATTTGGCTTATAAAACTATACTATTTATTTGGGCGGTCAAACTATTTTGCTTGTAAAACATTTTCATTTGACAATATGTTAAATGCAAATCAATGCAAAATTGAGCGGCCAGCCGGCCACGCCGGCACATATGGATCGACGCGTTGGACGCGCAGCCGATCATATCAAAAACAGGGCGGACGCCGGGCGGGCGGCCGACCCAAACGGACGAATAACATAAAGATTTGCATCTACAAAAGCATCCTGTTTATACGCCCTTAAAAAAATACTCAGTACTATTCAAACACAAATACCCCGAATCAGATCATAGAAAAAAAGGAGCGAATCAAAGAGAAGCATGGCACGCTGGGATGGATTATTCATTTATTTGCAGCATCGCTGCCACCACCAGCAGTTCACCAGCGCAGCAGCAGCGGAGCGCCCCCAACCAGAAAGAGAAAGAGGCAGGCAGCACAGCCGAGCCAACCAACTAACCAACGGACGGAAGAGACCGCCGCGAAGCCTCGCCAATCCGGCCCCCTTCCCTCCTTTTCCTCTCCCGCCTACTTGGGATCCGCTCGCGCGATCCCGCCGCCGAGACTCGAGCTCCGGCCGGCGCATGGACCCCCGCCGTCGCGCGGATCGCGCCGAGTAGCGGGAGGTAGAGGTGGCAGAGACGCCGGCGCCAAGGGGCGAGGCGGGCATGGACGCCAACGCCGGCTCCTTCGTCGCCGTCCGGCGGCTCGCCGGCTCCGACCGCGCGGCCGGCGCCGTCGCGTTCCATCACTCGTCCTCAGGTTGGCCCTTCTCCGACTTCTCTGTCTCCTCTTCGCCAATGGATGCTTACCTTACGCTTCGAGTGTTCGCGTGCGCTGCTGCAGCGGAGGTCGTGACCGGCTCGACGGCGTGGATAGGGAGGGGGCTCTCCTGCGTCTGTGTGCAGAGTAGGGACAGCGACGCCCGCCTTTCCTTCGATTTGACTCCCGTTCAGGTGAACATAGCTTAGCTCCCCCTTCAGTCATTTGATCCCCAGGTTTGCCTCTCTGGTGTCAATGTTGCGCCAGAATTTGGAGAACGATCGCGAGCTTGTAATTTTTTGGCTTAGCGTCCCCGAAGCTCATCTCGTGTTTGCTAACCCACACCCGGATCTCGCATTGCTTTATGCACTTTTATGCACTTTTATGCTTACATACTGCAGTGCAACTAACTGGCTTTCATGCTACTTTGAACACACTTCAGTTTTTCTCGACTAATTTTGTGCGTTTCTCGTGTTAACCACAGGATATTAAAGTTTTCCATGGAAGTAATATCTTTGCCTTTTGCCTTGCCTGTTCCAGGAAGAGTGCCTACTGAGGTTACAGAACCGGATAGAAATTCAGTATGATAGTTCAAACATAGAGCATCAGGTACCTGCGTTTTCTTGATATTGCCACCGAACTGTTCATACATGGATCGTAGTTGAGTACTTATATTCCATATTGTTCTGTTCAGAAGTGGGCGAGTGCCACTTTTGCCAAATTTCCTCAACTAATCTCTTGGTACAAGATGACTCTTGAAAGTGGAGTTAGTTACTAAGTTAGGTAGTTCTGGTAGTCCATATTGTTTCTTTATGAAGTGGGGGCGCACTATATCTTGCAAGCTTCAATACAAAATGACCCTTCATAAATTGGAACTATTTATTAAGCCGTGACCTCATTTTTCGCTCTATCAGGAAGAACTGAAGGCCCTTTGGTGCGCCTCCTTTCCTGGAACTGAGCTTAGGGGCCTAATATCGGAACAATGGAAAGAGATGGGCTGGCAAGGGAAAGATCCATCCACGGATTTTAGGTATTGTATTTATCATTCATTCCAGTTACTACGCTCCATATCAGTATTCTGTCGCTAAACTACAGAACTTGAGATGTATGATTTTTTGCCGTGTTTGCATTACAGAGGTGGAGGCTTCATCTCCTTGGAGAATTTATTGTTCTTCGCCAGGAACTATCCGGTGAGTGTAGTTGTCAATTCCAAGGATATGTGTATCCTATGATTCATTTAGTCACTATTTACAGGATGAAGTTCTGACAAAGTCTTCACTCTTTAGCAGTTAACACTTATGTTTGAACACAATAGGCATAATATAGATGGCTTTGCAATGCTGCAGTGCTAAATATGAAATGTGGCACTGTTTGCTCTTACTGGATGTAGGGCATGTAGTATTCCTCTGATAATTGCCTTAATGTAGAAAAGTAAAGAAGAAAATGTAAAGTGTATCCAGTAGACTAAATAAAGCGAATCCAAGGTACACCTTACAGAATAAAATGCAGAAATAGTCCAGTTTTACCTTTAATGTTGCTCAATATGACACTGAAACAGTAATCTCGTACCCTTATTTTTTTTTCTTTTTATGGTCATCACACTAAGCAATGCATGCCCTGTACAGAAATCTTTTCAGGAACTTCTTCGTAAGCAGAATGGTGACCGTGCAATTTGGGAGTATCCATTTGCGGTAGCTGGTGTAAATATAACATTCATGCTCATTCAGATGCTTGATCTACAAGCAGGTTTTGTTGCCAAAAGTTTTGTGCTTATCATTGTTTACCAGATAATACTAGTTCCTGCAGTGAAATGTGGAGTATCCATTTTCATGTTGAACTGACACTTGATCTTTGTTTCCTCTGCAGTCAAACCAAGGTCATTGTTGGGAGCTGTTTTCCTAAAGCTACTTTCAGGTACAGTCTTTCTTTCCTCTTTCCTTTTATGGAGAGCAGTTGAGAATCTACAAGAGCTGCTTACGATTAGGTTTTTTCCACGGCAGCTGAACAATATATGCTTGTGATGACTACAAGTGCATTAACAGTTCTTACCACTTACCGATAATTTTTCATTATTAAATTGATAAGGAGTGTTCTCTGAATTCTCCTTTATGGCCCAAAGCCAGCATATCATACTTTTTAGTTATAGTACTTCTTAAAAGTAGACACCACATACTACTAATACTCCTGATGCTGATTTCTCATTTATTTATTTTTGTAATTCAGAAAATGATCGAGCCTTTGATATCCTGTACTGCATAACCTTCAAGCTGATGGATCAGCAATGGCTTGACATGCATGCTACTTACATGGACTTCAATGTATGATGCCGTTCTACCCAAATTCTTGCAACCAGGAATATTTCTCCCCTATCAGGGCCTGTTTGGAACAAATACCGACACTTCACCAAGAAATGCCACTGTTCCAGACAGGCCCTTAACCTTAACACTTTTTGAACAGCTTCATGTATTCGAACTTAAGAGTCCTTCCTGACCTGATTACACTACTAAAATTGCAGACAGTCATGAAATCCACACGACGGCAGCTAGAAAGGGAGCTGTTGATTGAAGATATTCAGCGGGTTGAGGATATGCCATCGTACAAGCTTCTAGCCCGCTAGCTAGTAACTGAAACCTTAACATGGCTTACATGTCGCCGCGAGGCTTGAATCGCTGAACGATGCAGCCAGTGTCCTTATACAGCGAGAGAATTCCAAGATGTAGATGCCCCTGTATCTTGTTGCGTTTTAGGTACTCTGATAACCCGGGCTCTCATGTATTTACATAGTAGGGTTTTCTTGGCCAGCATGTCACGTAGGGTGACTCCAGTATCCGACCAACTACCAGGAGGGCAGAGTATTTGTAGGGTGTGTGTGTGTGTGTGTGTGTGCGCGCTGTTAAAGTTTGGTTATTGCCCATAATACCACGGAATGTAGTCCTTGTCTCTGTCCTTGTAACCAGGAGCCTCTTGTGAAAGCTAATCTGAGTGCGCAGCAACTACCATAGCTGTTGTTGCTAGTCTCCAGCTGATACAGATCCGATGTTTTCTTCATTGCTTTCCATGACAGGGATTTTCAACAGTTGTTGGTCGATGCTGGGATTGTGCAAGGCTCTCTTCCCTGCCAATACTTGGGATTGCCCCTTGGGATTCGAAAACCAAAGAGAGTTGAGATTCAACCGCTGATTGATAAAATGGCCGGAAAAATTTCATTGAGGAAAGGCAGAATGCTTAATAGGAGAGGAAGATTAGTGTACATCAACTCGGTGGTCACGGCAACGGCAGCTTACTTCTTGACAGCCTTTGCCCCGGATAAGTGGTTTATTAAGAAGGTGGATAAGTTGAGAAGAAACTTTCTTTGGGAGGTCGCAACTGGAAGCAAGTTTGCTCCCCAATAAGATGTGGTGGGCTAGGGGTCAAAAACATTGACTGCTTCAGCCGTGCTCTCCGTCTAAGGTGGGAATGGTTTCGATGGGAAGATGAGGATAGGCCATGGAAGGGATCGCCGACGCCTTGCGATGAGATGGATAAGCAGTTGTTTACGAGCTGCGCGTCGATTTAGCTGGGAGACGGCAACATTGCGGTGTTCTGGAGGGACCGATGGCTAAATGGGGAGGCCTCATGTCTTATGTATCCTGAACTATACCAACTGGCCAGAATCAAGAAGATGTCGGTTAGAGAGGCGCTCCACAATGGAAGATGGATGCTTGGGTTACAGAGAATGACAACGGAAGGGTAGCTCAATCAGTTCGTCCGGCTTTGGGAGGAACTTCAATCGATCCAGCTCACGGACAGCAAAGACAAGATCCTCTGGAACCTGATTGCTAATCGAAAATACTCTGCCGTCTCTACTTATGACACCCACTTTGTGGCAAGGATAAACAAGCCTGGGCTGGCCCAAGTGTGGAGGGGCAAGATGAAAGGAAAAGTTAAATTCTACTTATGGTTGTTGCTGCAAAACAGAAATTGGACGGCCGAACACATCACCCTGGCTTGCTGCTTTGCGAAAGAGGTTTGGCTCCAGTTCCAGCAACCTGACGACATGATGGGCATGTTGGCCTCCTCGACAACCTCCATTGGAGAGCGGTGGTCTCGGCTATGCACATGCGATGGAACCAAGGACAAGAACAGAGATGAAATCACACTCGCTGCTTACATAGTGTGGAACCTGTGGAAAGAAAGAAACCGTAGGGTCTTTGAGCAGAAGGAGCTGACGCCGACTGCACTTGCTGGACTGATAAGAGAAGACGTCAAGATTTTCTACAAGGCCACCAAAGCGGCGGGCACTGGGGACACATAAAAACACATGACATCTTTTCATATTTTTTTTGAAAATGGAGGTAAGCCCCCGGCCTCTGCATCATGATGATGCATGCGGCTCTTTTATTAAAAATCCAGAAAGTATCATCATAAAGGTCTTACAGCTCGCAAACACATAAAAAGGCACTGGGGACACATAAAAACACATGGCGTCTTTTCATATTCTTTTTCTTTGTCTTTCTCCTGTCAATACTCTCTGACCAAAGGCCGGGCTCTTGGCCTGGATTTGTCCGAATTGTGTAAAACTTCTATTCTTCTTTAATGCCAAAGCAGAGCTCCTGCTGTTCACGTCAAAGATGCATGAACCTTGTTCCAAATGCAGACCATTTTGCGGTATGTGGCCTAGCTGCAGCTCAGAACCTACACCCTCTGTCCCATAATAAGAGCGTTTTTGACACTAGTGTACTAGGCAAGTATACCTGCCTGTTCAACCAAATTACTAAAGAATGAGTTATTTAACAATATAGAGAAAAGGGAGTCTGAAGTCTGAACAATGGTTACAGGCTTACAGCAGCCCCAAGGGCGGTGGTGGTGCTTGCTTGCTGTCTGGGTCAGGTGGCTTCCACTATTTTTTCTTTGATGTATACTTCCTTTTTTCTCTTTCATGAACTACTTTTGTACCTTTTATTTGAAATTTAATAAAAATACGCAGCAGAGTCCTGTTGTTTCCCTCAAAAAAAAAAAAACCTACAAGCGGCTGGCTGATACTGCACCCTCAAAAGCTGATGCGTAGAATTGGCACCGCACCGCACGCTATTGTTTGGGTCGTGCAAGTATGATGATCTTACTTACTATCGATGGATTTTCAATTGGGCAATCAATCGATGAACACATCCTTCAGTTATGCTCGCCGTTGTCTGCAACTGGTTAAACCCTCTTACCACGTGTGGGTAAGGGTCTAGGACCGATTGCTAGAGAGATATAGAGGTTCCGACCAAATGAACACGCTACCGCTTTGGTTCTCTAGGCTCTGTAGGCCGACGCCTTGCCATCCCTTTTGGGGATCAAAATGGGAGTAGGGTTGTCATGGTGTATTTGACATGTGTGCAACCGTGCAGTCGCCGAGATCAGAGAAGATCTGCCCATGTTCATTCATCTATCTAGTACCTGGCATGAAGCTGTCGAGGACACACGAAAGGCATCATCATAGGAGGAATCCTGACGGGGCGTTAGATTTCACCCTTCCTATCATATTATCGATCTGGGGTGGGGATACCGATTGCCTCGGAGAGCACTCAGTCTTGCCAACCCTGTACTGTGTTGAAACTTCAACGGGTCTGATCAAGTATCCTGCCACCTTGTGCCTACATACGGGCCTTGTCGGTATGTTGATCAATATATGATCCTCTTAGCCGTATATGAACGAGTTTTTGTTTGAAGCAACGGGCTTGCAATCCTCCTTGTAGTCGGCGCAATCCTCCTTGTTCGTGGAATAGATGTAAAAGCAAGGTGAAACTAAGGAAAATATATTCATCAACATCCTGCAATCCTCCTTCTAGTCGGCGCCCATCCATGTTTGTGAGTAAAAGCATCTCGAATCACCATCTTGATCAGGTTGACTCCTTCAAGATCTTTTCGCCCGGGTTTCTTCCGCAGCATCGCCCAAAAATTGGTGTAATTACACATCGTAAAAACCGCATTAGCAGGATCATTAGAGAATTTTTGTCGGAAGCAAGCAACATTGCGTGTCTTCCATATTGTCCACACTACAACCGCTGCCTCACAAAGTAGCGGGTTGCGTGGCTTCACTCGAAATGAAAAAGATCCCTTGTGTCAGTATAGGAGATCTACGGAGATTCAGAGCAGACAACACCACCTACCAGATAAATCTAGCTACAGAACATATAAATAAAAGGTAATCTACAGTTCCATCCTCGGAGCAGAAATGACTTTGCTTATTTCCTGCCCACCCATCCTTCGTTGGTATGCTGTTCTTCAGCAGCAACCAAAATGAAAATCTTGATCTCCAAGGGCATTTTGATTTTTCACAAGTTGTTGTAATGGACCACTGCCACTGTCTTGAGCCGTAAAAACTATAGTTGAGACTTTTTTTTAGATGAAAACTAGTTGAGACAAGAGATGGCCTCCTGCTACACGTACCAACAACGAGTTCTTCTTCTACCCCTAAAAAAACCCCGAGTTCTTCTCATGTCCGCCGGTGCGCGCTCGCGCGTTTGTCTCCGAAGTGGCACGATTTTCCTATGGGTTAGAGCAACTCAAACGTGCCGAGTCAAATCGACAGCTATTTTGTCTGTTTTTTTATCTGTTTGGATCGGTCGCCTACTCGGCGTCCGTCCTATTTTTTTTGGATTGGTTGTACGTCCAACGTCCACGACTCATTTTATGTCCGAGCACAAATTTGAAAGGCCCGCGGTCATAGATCATGCCAGTGGCCATGCTGTCGTCCAAAGTTCACGCCGACACCATGCCAGCGGCCGGCATACAATGTCAGCCTTCAAAAAACCCACCACACAGTTCATACTAGCGCACTTGTCAGCGGCCGCACACATGCCAACACATAGAAAGGGGGCGGGAAGTCGACCACGCCATCTCGACTGTGGTCATGCCATCACACTTGCCGAAATACAAAAAAGGGACAACGCTTGCCGTCATAGTTCACTCGTCATCAAACTTGAGCATGTCGGCCTTCATCTTCTCGAACCATGGCCTGTTCCTCGGCAACACGGTTTTGAGGTCCACCTTCATGATCTCCACCCCGTCATCATGCTAGCGAGCGTCACTTCTTTCGCTTTGGTCTTGGCATTGGCGGCCTCCATCTCAAGCATCTTGGCTTGCTTCTCGTCGTCCATCTCAAGCCTCCTCCTTTGGATCTCCATGAAGGCGTTCATTTGCTCTCCCTTGTCTTGCCGGCGCTTCTTCTCCCTTGAGTCCTTTTTGCTCATCATGCCCTCCACGATTGCAAGCAAGGTGATCGACGCCGCATCCCGCTTGTCCTCCTTCTTGGAGTTAGTCTTCCCCCGCGGCCGTGGCTTTTCTTCCTCCCCAACGGCCCAACCTCCTCCACGGCTTTCTTCCCCCCATGCGCCATGAGGGTGACATTGCGCCTTGAACTTCTCCTCCCCATTGATGACCATCCAACAATGGGAGAGGTTGAAGGACTTGCCCTCATGTTGGGCCTTGAATGCCTCCAAAGCTTAGAATGCGTACAAATGAATAGCATGCAAGCATATGGGCAAATGGATATGCAAATGGACATGCAAGCATAACGGGAATGGAAATGAAGAGGGGTGCATGTATACCATATCTTGCATGCTGATGGCGCTCATGGGGCGTGCCTTGATG